GAATATTTCTGGGAAAAATTTGCAGAATCAGCCAATATCCAAAGTAACTAAAAGACAGGTTTGAAAGTTTTAAAGGTCACTATGACAGTTCCTGTAGTAAGTTATAAGAAGCCCCAGAAAGAATCTGCAGACAGTTTTCACATGCTGACTTGAATATGGTTATATCGAGCCTTTATTGGTAGCTGACAAGAAATACTTCCGGGACGTTGACGTGTCGTACGGTCTGAAATGATAAACTACCTCTAGAATTCTAAAAGTTATGATGAAATAGGATTTTTGATGTTTTTCTTTTGTATTGTGACGTATATCTGAGTGAAATGGATTATCTAAAAAGAAAAAAACGATGGTAGGAAACTTGGTTCTATTAAGGGGTTGATTGGATTTTGAGATGTGGGCATTGCACTGAAAAATGTGAACGTGCATTAGTAAAAATATAATTCAACCTTTCTATTCATGCCAACTTCAAAAACAGCATTTCGACACTAATTAAATAACTATATTAAAAAAAAATTGTGAGTGGTTAGGTCAGAAAGAAGACTTTATTTTAAAATATATAATAAAAAAAAAAGTTTTTGAAACAATTGTGACCAGTGAAATGGTGACCAGTCACAATTCTCTTATTCACTTTCTTTTTTTTTTACCTCAAATCTTGATGTTGATTTAGAAAAAAATCTTCATTTATTTATCAACAACAACCCATAAATGTCAGAAATTTTGACCCAAAAATTGTGGGGAGTGGGATGTGTAGAATTTTGTGAATGACTTACATTCCAATTCTACAGAAATCTGTGGAAATTTCTGTGGGCACATATTCCATGTGTGCTTGGTTATACAATTTCATAGGAATCTGTAAATAAAAAAGTAGATTATGGACTGAGATATTATACAAAATAATCTAAAAACCTTCACAAACAGCATTGGCTACCACCCGTTAAGTTTGGCTTCTGATTTCTGAGAGTCTATGCATGTGAAGTTAAGGATAGTTGCACATGTGCCATAAATCGCATACCTAATATTGGCTTACTCTATAAAAACATCACTGATACACATCGCTTGCCTCGGGCTGACATTTCTATTCTACAGATGGAAAAATCATTTCTGTGGTGTACTGCTGATAGATGAGCTGGCACACGGAGACATGATTTAAGATGCTTCTTTCCTTTTGCCCTCCACTTTTGCTTACGCCATTAGTTTAATACGGGACTCTTTGCTTGCATTTGTCTTTTTTTTAACCACCCCCCTCCTCATGGACCACAACACAAGCCAATTTAAGAGGCACTGTAAACGTATTTTCTTAAAAGCTGGTCCGCTGCTGAGATCGCATTGATCCCTGATGTTTACAAGATCACGTTCAGCTGGTTGTCTCTTCAACAAGCCGTTGCTTGCACGCATACCTCTTTCTCCTGATTTATCTGACCCTGATTTTACAGTGGGCCGCCTGTAATATTTTTCTCGCAAACTATGATTAATATACTTCAATCTCCATTATGGTCGATCAATTATGGGTTATGATTGAGGGGCGTGGTGACCTCCTGTCTGGTAGATGATCCTGCCATTATCTCATGAACAATGAACCCCTTCCAGCCATCCATACACATGTACGCGCACACACACATACACAAACTATTTCACCTTTTCACATCATCCCTCCATTTCCTCATCCTGGCTTTCTTTCCACATGATCAGATGGCATTTACTGTTCCGCCCTGTGCAAAACGACAGGAGTATTTGTGTCTCTCTACGCCAACTGCATACTCTGTCAAAGTCCAGTTACCTGAGCTTCGAAATTCAATTTGTAACACGATGAACTGATATCATAATATTATTCAGAACAACAAAAAAGCAAAGCAAGAGTTGGCAAACATCTCCGTAGGACTGTGACCATCATTTAGGAGTCCAACCAAATACAGAAGAAAACCACAGGCACTTCTATGCGTAATCATAATCAAAAAGATTAACTTTTAGATATCCATATATTTTGACTAGTGTATGTCGATATAACTACACTATAACTATCTAAATATGAATTCAGTAACAGGAACGTTGAAGAAATAGTCCACATAAATTACAATTTTCTCAAAGAATAAAAATATCTGAACTAATGATGTAAACTACTACATTACTATAATATTGAAGGTTAAAATGAAGTGATTTGTATACAAACACTTAAATTACACACAAGGAAGTTTTATAATGGTAGACTGCATTTATATATAGCGCTTTCAACAGACCCATGGCCACCAAAACGTTTTACATTCATACACAGACACCACCAACCTTCCGGTTTGTAGACAACCTACATGGACCACTGCTGCCATAATAATAAAGTAAAAATACTAAGATAAAAATAAAGTTAAAATACTAACTTAATTATGTTGATTTTTGTAAATATAAACATTCAAATAATGGCTTTCTTAAAAACTTGACGTATTTATTTAGACATATATTAAATATTGAAGAACATTAAAAGTATAATGAATATAATATGATGCATATATTTAATTAAATGTTCCTCTCTATAGATAATTTTTCTAGCTGACTAACGAGTTTATGGTCAATGAATGGCTTTTCTGAGGTAAATGCACGACACTGTTTACAGGCTATTTTATTGACGTCTTTCCTCAGTTCAAACATTGATTGCGCGATTACATGAGACATAAGGATTTCGGTAAGTATATTTTTAACATACCTTCTAATGTTCATTCATGTTTATTCCATGCTGTTACTAGTAGTAAAGCAAAAAAGATGATTAGTTTATGTGAGTTTTATGCTGCAGCTCTATTTGTTCTGAAATGCTACGGCAATCAGTCCACACCACATTAAAATTTTGGAACAAAATTGACAGAATTTGAAAACTTATTTTCTTATCAAAAGTAACAAAGCTTATAGTGATTTATTGGATCGCAGTACAATTCCATTCATTCATCAAATGAAAACTTTTTGGGATTTAAGAATCGATGTCAGTTGATATAAATAAGAATCGATTAGAATCGAGAAATCCATTTTTTTTTTTTATCCAGCCCTAAAAAGGTATTATATTTGTTTTCCATAAAATGAAAGAAATGGGGTCAAGAACACAAGGGATGCCACTGACTCTGAGGGGGAAAAAAGAGTTTGGAATACAAAACAATTGTAAGTTAATGTTTTTTTTCATCTGTGGGTGTACCATCCATTTTAATAAGAAGAAATGCTACATGAAGTCATTAATTTACAAATATGGAAAACATGAGTTGAGAGTCCACAAATATTACTATTAACTGGCTGTTATCACTATCCTAGATATCCACTTCTTTTAATCTAAAGACTTCAGTGACGAGATTGTTTACAATAGCTTTCTTCACGGCTCTTTCAGAAAGACTAAGAGCTTTAAAACAGAACCACTATAAACAAATTACGCTTTAACATAATGTGAGTGGGTAGTCTGGTTTATGGGTTACCTGTAATTGTGATCTTAAGCAAGCTGTTCCTCACAAGTCACAACATTTTTAAACCAGAACAAACAGATCAAGTCTGATGTAAGAAGAGAACCAACTCGGTGTTTTTTATTTAGTCATGCTCAATACAAAAATAAACGCAACTGCCCACATACAGTACACTGTGTGCTTAAAAAAATAACTCTTTTTACAGTGTCATATAATAGTACATTATTCTGTGCAGCTGAGCTAATGGCAACACCATGCTCATTCACTACTGTCTAATGTCATAAGGTATATTTATCCTAAAAAAACTATGAGTCAACCCACTGAACATTATATACTTCAGGTCCTGTTGTTATCCACAGCTCCACACTGGATTGAGAAATGCAACAAAAGCCAGAGGCATGAATATAAAATAAATAAAGCTGCACTCAGTAACATCATACTGACACCTACTGGCCTGGAGACATGTAGTATGTTTACTAACTGCTGCCACTATGCACCAAATCTGTTTATCTTTTTTCTGTCACATTAACTACACAAATAATGCATAATAACGCAACTGACAGACTGTTGCGATTTCTCTCTGAAAAAAGGCATATCAAAGCGTTTTTCTTTTAATGCTTGTAAACCACCTACATTTTAAAAGGGTAATATATATGTAAACAAATTTAAATAGTACCTAGCAATTGCCCAAATTGATCAATTGCATGGCCCAGTTGGTCATGTGATATCAACATGTCTGCGCGCATAAAACGGGGCGACCACCTCCACATAGAATAAAAATAAAGACGGCTGAAGTCTCAAATAAGAGTACATATTTGCTGTTTCTCAAAAGTGTTTAAGTGTCTTTGTATAACTACCCACATGCTCAAAAAAATGAATATGTGAATAATGCGATGGGTTTTTTTTTTTTTTTTAGAAAACGCATACTGTCTGCGAAACTGAACTCCAAACAATATTGTTTTTAGAAAGCATGGCACATAATTTTAGGAATAAGATTCAGGCTATAGCATGCGCCATGCGAGATCATTTCTTGTTTCTCAAAGAAAGACCTTGGAGCATTTTAAACATTTAACACAAGCACTTGAAGAGTCTCAGTTAGACTAAACATAAACTATAAGGTAAACATGGTGCTAAAACCATCCTCTATCACAACCACAGTAACAATGTATCTAGTGCTTTAAGTGAGCTCGGCTACTATTAGCACAACAACACTCTTTTATAATCACATTTCACGTGCTTGCCACCGGTGCACCCTCTATAAATGTACATCTGTAACTTATATTCTGATATAGGGTGCGTAATAGTCCTTGTCGCTTTCATGTAATCGTTTGATCACATGCATTTGTTAAAACAGCCGCACACATTATACGTGCATGCCTACATGTAAACATTCAATGAAATAAATGAAGACTCAAAATGAAAACGTCAGCTCACACCACCCTATATATCCTCTGCTTACATATAGCCTACGTAAGCCATTAAAATACATAGCGGATTCTGGATTTGCTGCTAATAGATTGATGAACAAACGTATAAATAAACCAGAAATCTTATTTTCACACCAAGCCTTAACGTTACCTGTTCGGATGAAGAGAATCCAGTTAAAAATTATGCTGCATTTAGGGAGGCGCGCATATGATATTTCTCTCTACGAACAATTCAGATGTGGGAAAACGGAAAGATGACTGGGGCTGACAGCGTCTATTCCCCACATGCGCGGTTTTCTTCTGCTCTTGAGTCCTGCAGTCAGTCGCTTGACTGAATTGTTTATTCAAGGTATCCCCGGCACTCTGCAATGCCATGTTCACTCCTCCTACCCTCCTCATGGACGGACGCTAGTGAGATCCGATTCAAAAGCGAATCGTTCTTGTAGAGATTCAGTCGAACCGATTCGCAAAGCGTGAGTAGGCCTACACTATTATAGTAAACATAGTTCCACCAAATATCCGTAATCAGCATACAACAATGATTTCCATTAACAATATAATAAATGATCTCAAGACAGGATAGCTGTAGTTTTTTTTTGTTGTTGTTGTTGTTGTTTTTTAAGAAAGCAAAACCAGCCTAAACAGACTGGAAACGATAGAAAACATGGTAAAATCTGTGGGGTAGTTGACATGTTGTCATACATAAAAGTAATTAGTCTTAAAATGTGGCTATACCCGTATTTAACTGTATTTTACAACAATAACAAAACAAAGAAGAGTAAAATTATGAAAATACTTTTCAGTAATGATTCACATGAATCATTGAATCGTTCAATCGCCCCATAAAACGAATCATCCGTGCGAATCGAATCGCTATGAATCGGATTTCCCAATGCTGGACGCCACCCTTAAAGCCACAGCTTATATCTGTCCTCTTCCTGTCTATCTATCTGTCTGTCTGTCTGTCTTAATTTCTTGATACATTTTATTGGTAATGGTATTATAATAAGAAATATAGTTTAAAATCTAATTTTGTTTGCTTTATTAAAAATGAAAGCAAAAAACATTCCAATTTAAAAATCATCTTGCCTGCCTAGTTCAGCCTTTCTATGCTTTAAGAAATCTCAGGTTTTACACCAAGTTCACACCTTTTAAGACCCCCATATGACCAGTCAACAGTTCTGGCTGGAGTAAACATGCCCCACTGAGCTTACAGATGGGCTATATCCTGATGGGACAGTATCAGCCATCAAGTTTTTCACAGCTTTCTCCTGCATACAAAGAGATGTTAACATCCCAGCTGCCCCTCCTTACTACAGTAGATTCTCTCTCCCTCCCAAGATAGTCACATGTTTCTGTTACAAGCTGTGAGGAAAACCTTTTGCTCGTGTGTGATGTTTACACATTACACATTTTTTCAGGGCTCTGAGATAAGACAGATTTAAAGTAAAATTTTCAGTTACCCCAAAAATCATGTCATCAAATTTATTTGTATCGCTTTTCACAATGTACAATGAACAAAGCAGCTTTACAGAAAACCATGATGTTAACATGAACACCATTTTACTATATTTATAGTCACATTTACCAGATTGGAGCTGGAAGATTGTGCAATTTTGAAATGAATCAAGCAATCAAGGACTTGAGATTTGCAATGTAAGTATAAATCGTCCAACACAAGTAATACACTTACACTAAAAAAAAGTAAAATTGTTCTAATAAAATCCATATAGTATCATTGGTTTAGAACAATTTAGAGATGATCTACCCCCAAACTGGTTGTTCTTCTGTTGTGTATTCATAGAATAATGTACCAGCACTCAATTTATTCACAGCGAAATCAAAGTCAAGCAATTAAAGTATAATCAGAGGTTTAAATAGCACATCTTTTTCCTCTGTGTGCCTAGAAATGGATAGCAGTTCAAACACTGAACCCAGATCAGAGATCAGAGAGCAGAGTTAAAAAACAAAGGGACTTTGGCCTCAGCATGTGACGGTCACAAAGGGAAACATTAGGTCTGCCAGGAGACAATGACCTTTGATTCCACTGATTTCCCTTGAACCTTCAATGACCAGGAAGAGCAAAGGCTCTCTGGGAAGGCAGGTGCAAACAAGGATATGGGGTGAGAAGCGCAAACTGCCATCTCCCCTTTGGACTCAAATACAAAGGTTGTTGGTCTTGCCAAAGAGGCCCGAATAGAGAGGAAAATTACTGTTTAACACAATATTGACACAGTCACTGAAAATCGGCATTGTAAAGTCAGAGCAAGATGAATGCTTATATGTAGCTGCATAAAAATATAAATATTTGATTGTAGTAGCTAACAAAATAATGTAACTGAATCCAGTGCGTGCATAATTATTAGGCGATATTCTGATCGTTTTATTCCAAGAACATTTTACCAATTCAAAATCACATCATTCTTAATAACTAGCCTATTCATTTTGTATATGATAATTTAAGTGATATATATATAATTGTTAACAAGGGCTGGACGTGAAAAGAAAAATTTAACTCACACTGAATATAACTGCGTCAAACAAAGGTTATAGTTTGAGACTGGAAAAGATAGAAAATATGGTACAACTAGCGTTGTCACAATGTTAGTAACTATAAAGATTTAAGTAGAGTACAATTACACAAATTTTTGTTTTCTCGTGCAGTGTAACTATAATAGTCAACAGAATGTCAAAAGAGGACCTTCAAAATAAAATTTTGATTGGCTTTTGGGTAAGCAAATAAATATGGTAAAACCTAAACATACTACCATTTACAGTATATCATTAAATATTTTGCGTTTTATGATTATCTTACCATATTATTAATATTATATCTTATTATTTCTGTAAAGTCTATAAAAGGGTGTTTAATGGCAGTTTGACTTTTCCAATTTACTTTTGGAACATTTCCAATGTAGCAGTACAACGATTGATCAACATGTTTTTATTCATTATTCATGAACAATATTGATGTAAATCATCAATAACATTATAGCCAAGACTTAAAGTTTTGTGCCTAAACTAGTAGAAACCAAAAAAATATTCAGAGTAAAAGGTGTGAACTTGCCCATGTTTCCCCTTTATATTGTTGTGTACTTTTAAAGTGAGAGGATGTTGCATTTAAACTAATTTGGCAAAGCATTCAAATTGCCCAGAGGGGTTAATTGCTTGTTTTGACCTGTGGTTGGCGTTCTTGTATACTGGAGCTTTTCCTGTCCATTGATGTGTTTTTTTGTTTTTTGTTTTTTTTGCTTAGAGTATCAATATCCTCACTGATTGGTTAATGGGACATAATGCTTAGTCAGTGGCTTTTAGTTGGTTTCACCATCTTTGACGGGCGTAGCGCTGTGCCTTTTTGAATGAATGCTTGTTTGAGGTTAGACACTCTGTGGATTTAGGTCTTGTATCATAATGTAACCCTCGTTATTTCCCTGAGCGATGCAGATCAATAACTGCTGTTTATGCATGCAGCCCGCATATACGGCACTACATTTCAGAGAAAGTAAAGTTGCAATTATGGCCGCTTAAAATCTGGCATGGTTTCAGTGTCCAAAGAAGCACTGAAAATAGAAAGACAAACGTCATACTAAAAAGGTCTCGGTGGATATGAAACCATTATACTGTTTCTTCTTTGTGCAAAAGATAAATTAGCAAATAATAGTTCCAATAAAACCATTTATTATTCATAACGAAGAACCATAATCGCATGTTTACAAGACATATGCAGCGACTAGAAGCAGCAGCAGTTACAGTATAGCTGCATTCAGGGGCTGGCAATGTGGTTAAAGATCTAAGGTATCTCAAGAGAGCAAATGAGAGGGAAGTGGAGGAGAAAGAGACTCGGAAAAACGGAAATAACCCCATGAGTGTATTATGTGGAGGGTTGTGACACACTGTGGCTTTCTGCACTTATGTGGCAGAGCGGAGAGCGGGGGCGTAAGACTTGGCATTTTACAGAGGAAAGGCCTCACTGTGTGCACATTGTGCAGCCATGTGTGGCATCACCACAGTTCACATCTTACCCATGTACAGTCTCCCAAATTTCCCCAAAGGGACTTCCAATTCTCATTGGCCTTGTTCCCTTTTTATCCAAATGCTTAAGCATAGAAAATCACTGACTTCAGGGAATCTAAAGGTTTATGAGCTGTGTAACCTGCTAGTTATCAATGCACGGATTAGTCAAACTATGAAATCAAAAATGCATTTTTATAGGTTGATGTTGAATTTATTAATCAGTATTCCACTCCGCTTTGACTCCTCCTAGCAATAAAATGTCATTTGAGTAAATCTCCCTTGAATCTCAGTGGCATAAATAGTTAATATTCCTTTGTACTGAGGAAGGCATGTCATAATCTTACATTTGAATGGGTAACCCTATCAAAAGCTGGACTGTTCCATGACAAATTGCTTATGTTAATCTCTACATGAGCATACCTCTTATCAATGTGCTGAGGTCCCACATTTATTTTGCCTTGGGCGACTGTCTCTACCAAGTGAAGGATCTCACATTATAATCCACAGATCACATTGAATGGGGCAAGTATCTCATTTCTCATTGTGCGCTCCTTCCATTTAGGGTACATGCTAAAGGAAAGCCGACTGAATGAGGCTTTGAGTTGAATAGGACCGCAGGGTGAGGTGCTCAGAGCCAGGGCTAAGTCATCAGGTGGAGGGTCATCTTGACCCATTGTGTGATTTAACGCTGGGTAAATGTCACTGCTGAACATCCCAGATCTACTCCTACCTTTCCTAGTCGGTTCTTATAACAATTTTAAAGGGCTTTGCAGCTTTGAATGTTTTCCTCTCAAATGTCAGACAAGGATTATACCCTCTAAGCATTTAATTAGTTCTGCCAATCAATTTGATTTTATGTCAAATAACCTAAATGATGTGTTGATTAATTAAAAAACCACAAATAATTGCAGCAATTCATATTTGTTTAAGGTCCCTTTGTGGTGAAAATCAAGTTTTTAATATCGTGTTTTTAATATGTTTTAAGACAAACCATGAGCAAATTCAACACCATTGCTGAGTATTTTCTCCTTAACTGCCGTGAACCAAAGACAGTCTCAAAAACACGGTTTGAAATCGCGTGGTGTTTCTGGCGTCGTACAATCTACTCTATAAAAAATTATATGTTGGCTTTGATTAATTTTATTTTGTCAACAGGTTCCACATAACTGGATTATGTTAAACAAACATAATTTGTGCATGTAACTTCAACATCATGAAATTAAGTAATTATAACTGACCCAATTTAAGTCTCAACGTGAATTTTTAAAGGCTTCCTGACATGATTCAGGTACTATTTTATATTCATTAATCCATTAATATTTCAGTTATTTTAGTGACACATAATAAAATTGATAAACTATAGCTAGCTATTGTCTTG